CACTGATTTACACATTGTGAGTCACCCCTCACTGTATTGAATTTCTGTTATGTGCTTGGTCATGCGGTATCCATAACCCACGCAGACGAATGAAAGTACATTTTGGCGTCTTTGAATTTTAAAACCTTTGACACTATTAAATTTGTTAACACCGAAGCATCTTGATTTTCCATAATAATCTATTATAATACTTCAACAACCTCAAAACTAACATAAACTATAGACAAATCTTAACACTTGTAGGTGCACTGTAGGCTAGCCTGACAAGATCGCGTGAGTTGCGCACTCCGCGGTGCTCTAAACCCAACACAACAACAAGTGGGATCTGATGACGTGCGGCCGGCGAGGGCGCCACTCGCGCATACATGTCAGGCTAACTGTGGGCGTGAAAAATAATACTAATATTTGGAGCTTTTATTGCCATCTACACAGTATTTTTATTTTGTTTATTGAGTAAGATTGTACACGCTCCATATACATCCCTAATTATGTTATTATTTCGCATGCTTTAACAACAGATACGAGTTAGCTATTGATTGTTCCTAATCATTATCGGTTACCAAGGCGACATAATATTAGATTGCTGCATATGTATTACACATCCAGCTGTGACAGATTCTACTCGAAGACACAGTGCTGATAAACACGTAAGTAGTCTCTATTTATTCCATGCAGTCACGCATTGTCTTAAGTTTCGTAAGTTTCGCAACAAATTTAACATATTCTTAGCAAATAATAAAACAGTCTGTCATCGCAGTAGTACCACGCATAGGTTAGTCATTCAGCTATGCCGTATACGCATTTTCTTTACATGGCCGCATGGTAGACTAAATAATCACTTATGGTAGTTGGGTCAAAGTGAATGTTACTGTAAGCCTCGTCACACCATATTTATAGTGTAAAGTGTACAATGTATTAAATTTAGCTTATGACAAGAATAAAATATTCATTTCATAGCTGAGAAGTGGGGTTTAAGTGTAAACTGATTATTTGGAGTGGCGATGGTAATATGTTGTAACATTTTGAGAACAAAGACACTAGTAAACGTGTACTGTTTGGAACAAAACAATACTTACTTTGTTGATTAGCGAAATAGCGGCTGCATTTGCCGAGGAAGCACGGTGGTACTTATAGAAGGCCAGTTCTTTTGGACAAGTCCACGATGTCACGTTGGTATGCATCAAGTTCTTGACACCGATGGGTTAGACCTCACACAAATAATGACTTCTCCTTAAATTTTAAGTACATTTGTCCACCATGTGACTCTGGTCACACATATAAGTGATATTTCGTACGTTTAGCCTGAAGGGTTAGTTATAAGCCTCTGCGATTGATCTCAGACTGACGTCACACCTTCAAATGATCACAAAACAACCTTTTATCAAATTGATATATGAAGTTTGTTATCCTAAAAGATTGCAAAAGTCCAAAATTCGGGTCTATTCCCTGAAATGTGATGTCGTTTAGGAAACATCATTAATTATTAGCAAATTATTAAAATGGAGATTAATTTAACCATTTCACTATAATAAATCAGGTTCTATTGCTTGTTGCTGTTGATACAGCGCTATTTCAAATTATGAATGAATACAAATACGGGCTGTGTTAGATGGCTGTGAAGGATGGGTGCATCGCCAGGTTCAACAGTTTTAAATCGACTACACATCTGTCAAAGTTTACCAAGAAGTCACACACAGTATAATTGCACTTGCCTGATTGTTAATAATGCAAGATAGAATACCATTATTAATATACCAGCATATGGTAACATTCAACACGATACATTCTCAATAATTAGAAAATTCAATTCAATTTTAGTCAGTGTTACACGTGCTACATACTCACATTATCGTGAAATGCATTCTGATTCAAAAGATATATGTAATGTAAAACATATACTGGTATAAATATAACACACATATAAAATATTTCAAAAAATATTTCAATAACGCTTGGTTTGAAAATTGAGTTTATGTCTGACTTTTTACTACTTTGTCCCAAATGACTGCAGATTTGGGAACCATAAATTGGGAAACTATTTTTAATATTAATTGTGTGTGCTCTGGAGACATCCCTAATATATATATTGTTAGCTGAGTTGGTATTTATATTATAAACCTTTTTTACATATGCAAATATATCATTCAAATATGCAGAAGCTTTTTCGTTTAAATATTTGTTAATTAAATTGCAATTCGTAATTTAACTAGGCCTATTCAATTTAAATTTGGCAAAGACCAAAGTGTTTTGCAAAGTTGCAAGTCAATTTGCTAACTGACTGTCCAAATAATTCTCAGAACGGCTGTAATGTGTGTACTATTTCTACTACTTACATCACAAAATACATGTGCTGCTGTCTTTTGTTTTTGTACTAAGTTCACTCAATCAACTGAAATAACCCCAAACAGGTGTAGTCGAAGTATCATAATATTGAAATGTATGCAACCTTAATTTTAAAGAAGTTGAATTGAACATAGTTTTTTCAGTATTATTGCCATATTATTTTTGTCAAATATTATCAATTTATGAAGAATAAAAATAAAAGTGGCCCTAAAATTAAACCCCGTGGAAGGCCAAGACTAACAGATTTTTTGTCAGATAATGCCGCTTTAAAATATATAAACATAAAGTCAGTTGGCTATACATAGAATGGACGTGTCTTTAAAAATATTAGATATTGATGACAAGATCCCAATTGGGCTTTAGTCATTTAATCATTTGGTATCGCCTATCATAAACATGGGAATATATATCCAATATCCAATCAATACATTATAATTTATTATTTTTTATCAATTGTGGTAAATAAAATATATGGAATAAAAAAGTACACCATATACAAACAATTTTTAATTAAATTTATGTTTAATGACTCTGAGGTCAAAATATCCAATACGAGATTATCATAAATGTAAAATTGCTTTGACAACAGATAGCAATAGAGCAGACGAGTTTAATAACATTTTGAGATGTAGGACAAGACTAGATACTGTAGCAATAAATATTCCCCTCACTAAATGACACATAATATTATGAATATTATTGCGATGAAATTCAATCCTTGCTGTAGCCCATTTTAGTTTGTAAAGTAACCTGGCATATAATATGCTGAGTCTATAGGTCGCATGGAAAATAATACTGATACAAAAAGATTCACCGATATACCCATCCATTAAATTCAATAGATGCATAAAGATTTGAGCAATGTATACAATGGGCATATAACAATATGCATAGAACAACAAAGTACACTCATACATACGACAATGTGTATAGTGGTACAAAACATGTGTGCTACACGAGATGCATTGATCAGTCCCGGATCATCACACACAAAAATAATGTACCAAAGAATGATGTATAAAAGTTAATAAAGTATATAATATATATATGTACATGTATATGTATATATACATGTAAAAAGCGCCATATATCAATCTAAGCAGTCAATTCATGAAGGAACTTTCTACATAGAACAAATGATGTATACTTTGTGATTTGTTATATATTGTCACAAGTTCATGATATCTCCCATAAACTCTTGAATATATAAAGGTTTGGCTTAGGAGTTTGGAAGACATGGGTCTATGATGTTTCACAAATGTACACACCTTATGAATATTAAGTTAATGCGTTTACTTTGAAAGGTTTGGCTTAGGATTTTGGAAGACAGGGGTCTATGACGTTTTGCAAATGTATGCACCTTATGCAGAAAAAAAATATTACCCCTTGGGTAGTAAATATTGACGATGGTAAAGTCAAATAAATTTTACCCTTTGTGTCAAATTCAAGGAGGATATCAAGATATGAGACAGATTTCAAGCTCAGGTGGACATATAGAAAGATAATTAGATAAAAGAATAATAATTATTTCTTGAAGGATTGTTGAAATTACATCACAAATATAACTGAAGGTAAAATGGATTTCGCCTGACTGTGTCTTTTCATTTTTTACAAAAAAAGTTCTTGGAAGTGAAGAAATAAATTGCCCGACAGAGGGGAACAATTAGTTCCAATGTTTTGTTGAAAAAAACAAGCAGACTGGCGTTATCTTCTATATAACAGGTTTTTGCATTAATTTTATCAGTAACCCAATAAGTACTTTTTTT